AGAGGGAAAGACAGTTGGACAAAGGAGTTGCTAACGATCAGGCTGGGAGGGTGAATAGTTGTTAATGGGGACTGTTAGTGACTAACAGCAGGGGGAGTGTAATGGCAGACTATGTGGTAACAAGGCCTGGTGTGTGGGGTGGGGGGCTGGGACATGGGAGAGTTTAGGCCCTAAAATTATTGAACTCGATATTGAGTCCGGAGCGCTGTAGGGTCCCCAAGCGGAAAATGAGGTGTTGTTCCTCCAGCTTGCGTTGGGCTTCACTGGAACACTGCAGCAAACCAGAGACAGAGATGTTGGCCAGGGAGCAGGGTGGTGCGTTGAAGTGGCAGGCAACAGGTAGTTCAGGGTCTTTGTTGCGAGCAGTACGTAGATGTTCTGCGAAGCGGTCGCCAAGTCTACGCTTCGTTTCCCCAATGTAGAGGAGACCACATTGTGAGCAGTGAATGTAATAGACTAGATTCTGGGAAGTGCAGGTGAAGTGTTGCTTTACCTGGAAGGTATGTTTGGGCCCTTGGATAGTGGAAGGGTGGAGATCTGAAACAAAAACAGAAATTTCTGGGGAAGCTCAACTGGTCTGGCAGCAGCTGTGGGGAGAAAGCAGAGTTAACGTGTCAAGTCCAGTGACTCTTCATCGGAACTTGTGTCACCAGACTCAGCACGTTGACTCTGCTTTCTCCCCACAGGTGCTGAGCTTTTCTAGCAATTTCTGTTGTTGTTTCTTCTGTCTGTTCTCATTCCCCCAGGTAGGCGTTTCTCTGTCCTCTCACAGACAGGAGCAGTTCTGTCTGTCCTCTGTGCCCAGATACGGGTTTTTCCCTCTATCTGTCCTTACTTCCACAAGCATTTGAAACTTTCTTGTCAAAATGATTACACAGAAATAGGATGCATTTCCCATTTCCAACTTTTAGTTGTTTATTTTAGCACGGTGCACACTGATAGAATTTGGTACATCAACATAGCACAGAGAGGAGAGTAACTGGATAAATCCTTACGTTCTCTAGAGTATGGATTTTGAGTCACTACTGCATAGGATTATTAGAGGCAGGCATGTCGAGATGCAGGAAAGTGGTGTCTCATCCTTTCCCGCCATATTACTGTGCTTCAGATCAAGCTGGAAACGGTCATCTGCTCTAAGCATGTGGACAATTATATTCAGATCACAATCTGCAAATGTTTTCCCTTCAATTGCCCTTGGTCTTTTAAATGATTTTTAAATCTCTCTCCCAGGACGTCACATTGCTATTGGTGGGCAGCAAAGTGCCTCATCATGATGCTCCAGGATTCATGATTCTCTAGGACAGATAGTTTTCATTCATCCATCACTTTGTAACACCCTAATGGGTTTCAGCTAGCGTGGAGATGTTTACTGGAGCTGATGACGACTCATGGTCACTTTCTCTCCACTCATGAATATTGCAGCTACCATTTTCCAAAAGACTGGCTGACAATAAAACATTATTCGAGAACAGCTGGCAAATAACAGTTGAATGATAGCAGAGTGTCGGAGAAAGGTTTGAGCTCAAAGGTTCATGCTGAATTCTGCTGAACCCAACCTGGAGTACAGTTGCTGTGCAAGCAATCGCACAACTGGCAATTGCTGCAATGTTGAAATAGGATTTATGATTTCACGAAGGTACTGTGAATTCTGGCGCACAATAGTTGCTTGATTCATAGGCTGAGGCAAGTTATGCATGTTTGGTGATAATAAATCAGGATCAACATGTATCGATTCAGTTGGGGGGGAGGGGTTGGGGAAACTGAATACCCCAAGCCAGTCCTTTTGCTCCAGTCATCCTCCATCCCCAACCTGCTGACCTAATGTTCTTCTGAGATTTCTAGTAACAGCCGAAACATTTGACAGCAGACACAATGCCTTCGAACATGCTTTCACGATATGTTTTTGGACAATGTAGACAATCTTCCACTCTGCGCCATCATCCTCCACACCAGCACTCCCCATCACCCAGAGTAACACAATTAAGAATAAGAAAGGAGATATCAGAGATCAAAGCTTTATTAAAATCTGACTCCTCAGTCAGACAGACAATATAGAGCAAATATTAACTTCAACGGTTACAAAAGATGTCCTCAAAACAGAACAATATTCGCCCGATTTACAACAAATTACCTGTTTACTTACAGGAGTCTCTAAGGGAGATAAATGTGTAGACAGACTAGTCTCTCAGTTCCCCTCTTAGGGAGATATGTCTGTACAGACTGGTGTCTCAGTCCCTCTTTCTTGGGAGATATTCAGATCAGTGACATATTATGCACTATCTGGTCAGCCTTGGTCGTGCAGATATTAATTGTTTCACTATTCTACTCCCCTGTTCCCATACAATGAGTTACAAACATACCAACATATACACATAGATAGGTAAGTATAGTAGCACAGTGATTATGTTGCTAGTAATCCAGAGGCATGGATTAATAATCAAATCCCACCACAGTAGTTGGGCAATTTGAATTCAGTTATTTAAACAAATCTGGGAATAAAATGCAAATATCAGCAATGAAGAAGAAACTACCAGATTATTGTAAAAACCCATCTGGATAACTAATTTTCTTTAGGGATAGAAATCTGCTGTCTTTATCAGGTCTGGCCTACATTTGATTCCAAACCTACAGCATTGCAGTTGAATCATAACTGCCTCTGAAATGGCCAAGAAAGCCACTGTTATATCAAAAACAACCACGAAAAGCTATAAACCCCAACAACTGCATCTTTTCAGCTTGCCATTTCCTTCTCAAGGGCAAATAAATGGGCAATAAATGCGAGCCTTGTCCACATCCCATAAATGAAGGAAAAGACACTCAGTACTTCTTTGCTTTCTGTTAAGCATTGCATTGCCAAGAGGCATCCAACCACTTGTGAAACAGCTGACTCCCCAAGTCTGTACACATCATGGCAAGTTGCGAAATACAGCCAAAATTTAAAATAAGGTTTTAAACAGCTAAGAAATTCATCATAAAATTACATTCTTGAGCTATAGAAGTATTTATTCAAATTCATTTTCATTCCCATAGAACCCTCAGAGGTTGGCAGGTGAATAGCCAACTTTACAGTGGTAACATTAGGTGGCACTCAGTGGAAAGGCTGGTACCTCCCTTCGAAGGGAGTTTGGAGAATAAACCCGTCTCCTGTGAGTAATTGATATTGCTTAAAGCACAGTGTGAGCAAGCATCCTTACTCAAAACAAAAACACTGTGAATAAAACAGAGTGTATGGATTAAAAAAAAGACAAAGGGACTCCCCTTGGATCCATATATCCCTTAAAGAGCAGGCTTCGGCTGCACACAGGTGAGAGTGATGGGGCTGCACCAGACTCTTATAACATAGAGACTACAGCACTGTCTGCTGCTGAATATAAACAATGCCACATTAACCAAGCCCCCCCTCCCCTTTATTTGGATTAAACTAAACTGAAGAGAAATGATTATTATAAGGCGCTTTCAAGGTCTAAGTAAAGCCTTTTTAACCAAAGCAGCCATGCACTTATATACAAGGCCTGGAATGAGGCCTTTTGATTACTGGATTAGATGGCAATGGAAGGAAGACAAGAAATGGGGCAGGGAGATGGGGAAAATGGTATGGGTCCCACATGTCAAAAAGGGCAGGGGGAAGAGGGTGATGTGAAGAATAAATCTTGCAGGATAGTGAGAATGCCCTGCAAACCCTGTATCCCACTGACCCATGGATTCTGAGAGGATGATACCTGGTGATGGTGCTGATTTGGACAGTGAAATTTGAGTGCAGGGTAATATGCAGGGTTATCTTTGTGGTAGGGTGAGATATGGAAAGTTGATATTTGGTGGCATGGGGTGGGGGGGATACAGAGGGAATCCCTGAGATTCACCCCCAAATGTCCACTCCACACACGCATGAAGGTGCGTGGAGTCAATATTTGGGGTGAATCTCAGAGACTATGACAGAGCCCTGTGGACCCTCTGTCACTGAGGGTTTAGGGGGGGAAGCTATTGGAGGTGGGTGGGGTGAGTGAAATCTGGGGCGCCGGGAGAATGTGGGGTATGTGGAGGATGATCCTTGCCTTTGGGGGTTGGGTGTGGAGGTGACATTCACAATGAATCTTGCACAGACAGTGACAGCACTCTGGGACCCCCTGCCCCTGACATTGCGAGAGTGATATTTATGTCAAAGAGGGCGATAACTGGGTTTTGGGGAGGGTACGTGTTTGAGTTCAGGGAAGCGTGTTATTTGGGGGAAGGTGATATGGGGGTTGGTGTTTAGGGGAGGGCAATATTTTTTGTGAAGATGGTTATATGGGTTTGGAGGAGAGTGCTTGGGGGGGGGGTGGGGTGGCAGTATTTGGGTTTGGGGAAAGGGTAATATGGGGGGAATTGTGTTTGAAGGGTTGGTTTTGGAGACTAATACTCCACAGATGCTGTCATACCTGCTGAGATTTTCCAGCAATTTCTGTTTTTGGAGATTGATGCTGGGGGAGGGGATGTGTTTTTGGAGGGTGATATGGCAGCATTTGTGCTTGGATGGTGGCATTGGGAAGTATGCGTGTTCAGAGGGTGACTAACTTGAGTTCAGAGGAAGGTGATATTGGGGAATATTTGCATTTGGACAGGGACATTGGGGAGTGTGTGTGTGTGTTCACAGAGTGATATTGGGGAGTAGGTGCGTGTTCAGAGGGTGATATTGGGGAGTATGCGTGTGTTCAGAGAGTGATATTGGAGAGTATGCGTGTGTT